CGGAAACCACCTGGGCTGAGACATGTTTGAGTAGAGGATGCACTGAGTGAGGCCAACCCATCCATGTCCCTGCCTGTGTCCCAAAGCCTCTCTAGATCCCTCCTGGGAGGCTCCTTGGGGTTCTGGGGGGCTCAGAGTCTGAGCACCAGCACGGGGTGGGGCTGAGCTCCCTCCTGCAGCTCCACTTCTGCTGCCCAGGTGGATTTCTGGCGTCACCCCTCCCTCCCCCACCACCCCACCGACCTGAGGGTGCCCTTCCCCAGCCTGCAGGCAGTCAAAGGCTTCCTGGAGTCCCACAGCTTCTCCTACAGCGTCATGATTGAGGACGTGCAGGTAACAGGAGCGGGAGCAGCTCCGTCCCCGAGCAGGGCCAGACCCTCGGGAACCACGGGGAGCCGGAATTAGAACCCAACCCCCACCTCCCTCCAGCCTCTGGTGTTGGGGTTTCTCTGCCTCCCAAGCAGGAGTTACTGGATGAGGAGAGGGAAGCCATGGTAAGGACCAGGAGGGTCAAGAGAAGCTCCAGGACGTTTGATTTCGGCTCTTACCACACCCTGGACGAGGTGCTTTTCCCTGGAGAGGGTCTGCTGTGCCTGGCTGGGGTCACACCCCACCTGTGCCGTGGCTGCATCCGTGTGGGGATGCTCCTGGTGGCAGGGGAGACACCCCTGGGGCAGGTCTGGGGCTGGAAGATGTTTCCAACCTCATTTTTGGAGGCTGGGATGGTGTTGGGGGATCTCAGAGCTTTCCCAGGGAAGCACTGGGGTTTTTTCCAGGGAAGCTCTCAGTCTTCTCCAGGGAAGCCCCAGGATTCCAGGGAAGCCCCAGGTGTCCTCCAGGGCAGCCCTGCACGTTCCTCTGGTGCTGGAGGCCCTCCAACCCCAGAGGCAGCCCAGGGTGAGCCTCCTGAGCCGGCAGCTCCTCCTTCCAGATCTACTCCTGGATGGACACGCTGGTGGAGGATCATCCTGGGCTCGTCAGCAAGATCCAGATCGGCCAGAGCTACGAGGGCAGAGCCCTCTTCGTGCTCAAGGTGGGTTCTGGGGCCCCCCATATCCTGCAGGAGGAGAGGACATGGCCTCAGGCTGTGCCAGTGCCAGGGGAGGCTCAGGTTGGCCCTGAGGAGGAATTTGTTGCTGGCAAGGGTGGTGGGGCCTTGGCAGGGGCTGCCCAGGGAGGTTTGGAGTGCCCAGGCCTGGAGGTGTCCCAGGCAGGCCTGGCCGTGGCACTCAGTGCTCTGGGCTGGGGGACAAGGTGGGGATGGGGCACAGGGGGGATCCATGGGCTGGGAGGGCTTTTCCAGCCTCAGGGATTCCCTGATTCCCACAGTTCAGCACCGGGGGCTCTGCCCGGCCGGCCGCCTGGGTGGACACCGGCATCCACGCCCGGGAGTGGGTCACCCAGGCCACCGGCGTCTGGACGGCCAACAAGGTGAGCTGGGGGTCCCCACCCCTTCCTCTGCACCCCCTCCCCGGTGTTGCTCCAGCTCCTCCCTCATCCCATTCCCGCTCCCCTGCAGATCGCCGAGGCCTACGGGCAGGACCCCTCGCTCACGGCCATCCTGGACACCATGGACATCTTCCTGGAGATCGTGGCCAACCCCGACGGCTTCGCCTACACCCACAGCGCTGTGAGTGCCCTGACACCGTGGGGGCCCACCTGGGTCTTGGCTCCGTGGGCTTGGGTGGGGAGGGACATTCCCCCTGCTCCCCACAGGGACAGTGAACCTCCTCCCAGCCCTGGTGGTGCTCGGGCTGCGGGTCCTGGTGCCCCCCATCCCCAGAGGGTGGGACTCCCTCCCTGTGCCCTGGTGCCCCCCATCCCCAGAGGGTGGGACTCCCTCCCTGTGCCCTGGTGCCCCCCATCCCCAGAGGGTGGGACTCCCTCCCTGTGCCCTGGTGCCCCCCATCCCCAGAGGGTGGGACTCCCCTCCCTGTGTCCCCAGAACCGCCTGTGGCGCAAGACCAGGTCCCTCAACGCCGGGTCCCCCTGCGTGGGCGTCGACCCCAACAGGAACTGGGCCGTGGGGTTTGGAGGTGAGAGCGGCCCCACGCCGGGAATCTGCCATCCCTGGGATCATCCTGGCATTCCCGAGGGACAGGGACCCTCACCTGGG